CGCGACTCTATTCTTCTTCGTGATTGTGATTGATGTGTTCATTGTTTTGTTTCGCAGTTGTAATTGATGTGTTCGTTGTTTGGTTTTGCACTTGTGATTGACGTGTTTGTTGGTTGGTTTCACAATCGGTGCTGGTTCTTCAGCCAATTCTTGTCTCTGTTCTTGTTCGCGTCTTTGATTCTCGTTTGTGACTGTGATTGACGTGTTTGCTTTGATTCATTCTTGCAGTTTGTTCTCGTGGAAATTTCATGGATAACACAATTAATTATTTAACCACATATTCTGGCTATATGCTAAAGCTGGTTGGAAAAAGTTGTGATGGTCATTGACTAAGCAGTCAGTCTTATAATTGATTTGACAAATTCCTAGTGTGATTTGAGTTACAGATTACAAAATTAATTTATTATTGTTAAGTGCTTAAGTCCTGTTGAATTACTTAAAGATTAATACTTTCTGATTGTTGGTGATTGTTTGGAGTTGTAATCCACCCCTATGCTTCATGGATGACAGGTTCTTGCAGATAAATATGGTAATGTTGTTCACTTTGGAGAACGTGATTGCAGCATCCAGGTACTGCAAACTGAACTTCATTTCTATCTGTCTGCTTAATTTTCCAAAATTATGTAAAATGATATTGAACATAATTACTGTATTTTCAAACTTGTAATTTCTGACATAGGCGAACTAATGATAAAAAACTGAACATAAAGTAATTAAAATATGTATGGCTTGCATTTCTGACTAGAGTATTTATTTTGTTTTTATAACTCTGCACTGTGAAAAACTAAAGTAATGTTATAGGCAATAATTGAAGCAACTGCCGTCACTGTCACAATGATTCTTTTATGGTTTTTTCAATTATACTTTTGTTCACTATGGAGTTTCCTATGTATATCTCATATTGCTTGATAATAAATTGCAGATACGTGTGACAAATTGTTTTGATTTAGTTTCTATTTTTATGTTTATGTTGTACCCATAATGAATTCTGTTAATGGTGTTGTTGTTTTTTTTCATGCAGAGGCGTAATCAGAAACTGCTGGAAGAAGCACCATCTCCAGCCCTGACCCCTGAGTTGCGAAAGGCAATGGGAGATGCAGCGGTTGCAGCTGCTGCATCTATTGGTTACATAGGTGTTGGAACAGTGGAGTTCCTTTTGGATGAAAGGGGTTCCTTTTACTTCATGGAGATGAACACTCGTATCCAGGTTCAAACTAATTTATGTCATTACTTGTTTTATATGAAATGAAACCTAGGAAATTTTCAATATTTTTGTGAATAATTTCCATTATTTTATTCTTTTGAGTCAGGTTGAGCATCCCGTGACAGAGATGATTTCCTCAACAGATTTGATAGAAGAGCAAATTCGTGTTGCAATGGGAGAAAAACTTAGAGTCAAACAGGTAATACATGTATATTTGACTTTTAATTCTTTAGAATCTTCCTCTTATTTTATTTTTTTTTTCTACAGGAGGATATTGTGCTCAGAGGACACTCTATTGAATGTCGTATCAATGCAGAAGATGCTTTTAAGGGATTTAGACCAGGGCCAGGTATCCTAGACTTGATGTATTTATGCACGTTTATGTCAGAAATAAACAAAATCACAGCTTAATGCTTACTTAGAGTGCAATAGATTTCATACATATTTTAGATCATTTGGTCAATTAACTTCTCCATCATTTGAATTTTGTTGTGCCAAGTGCTTGCATTTTATGGTTTTTTCAATCTTTTATTTAGAAAGTTTATTGATTGAAGGAAACTTCTTCCTCAAATAACAGGTAGAATTACAGCATACTTGCCATCTGGAGGTCCATTTGTCAGAATGGATAGCCATGTTTATCCTGATTATGTTGTTCCTCCAAGCTATGACTCCCTTCTTGGAAAGGTGAGCCTATTTGTTCTCTTTTATAGCTTTGATTTATCATCCTACCCTGGATTGTTATACTAGATAATTTATGTTTGATCCCTATGACATCAAATATGTGTAAACCTCTTTCTGTCCTGTGTATATAAATTTCTTAGCTATACTTTTCAATGTAATTAATAACAACTTTAATATATAATACAAAAATATATTTGTCATGCTCTTTTCCTTGAAAACCCAACTGCATTTTATTCGGGCTTCTTTTCTTGATGTCTGGGCTTTTGGATTGAAGAAATGACACGTTATAATAAGTATAAATTAAATTTACTGAATTTGTTAAAAGGAGAATGTATTACCTATTGGTATGTGATTTGTAATTGGTCATTTTTCCCCACGGAAGTGGAGAGTGTTATAATGGATTACAAAAATAAAAGAGGCTCAAAATATCAAATGAACGGGATGTAATACATTCTAAATGCCAGTTTCAATTTATATTCAATTTATGTTGTGAGGAGGCTTAGATGTGATACTACCCCGAACTATATGTAAAGTGTGCTATTTGTTTCAAACTCACTCTTGTCTTGGCTTTGTGAACTTTTTGTAGCTGATTGTATGGGCTCCAAATAGAGAAAAAGCCATTGAACGCATGAAAAGGGCTCTTGATGACACAGTTATCACAGGTAAATTAATTTGATTTTTATGATTGTGAGTATTCTGTCAAATATCTATACTTGGTGTCTGTTGCATCCCTGAATCCGAAAAAGACCCAAAACAATTAATTACTTTTCCTTTGCATCATTAAAGAACTAGGTCCTCACCCTCTGTAGTTTGAAACAAATTGCAGGAGGTGCAGTTTACTAACCCAAAGGATATCATTTGAACTTTGTCATAAAGATTGCCAAGTTAAAACACTTCAGTTTTAAAAAGAATCTGAAGATGATCTTGATTCTATTTTAAACCAAGTTCAATTTTGTTTTAAATACCTGTGCTTGCTGTAGGTCCATTGCATGCTGAAGCCTAAATAGGCTGAAACAATCTAATACTTGTCATTTTCTCCCTGGTCAATATGCTTGCACAAAGATAAAGAACCAAATCCTCGTTTTCTGTTGTTTGAAACAGATTCATGAGGTGCAGTTTTCGGGTTCCAGAAATCAATCCATTGAACTAACTCTGTTTCAAAGATCTCCAATTTTAAACCCTTGAGTTTTAAAACGATGCTGCAGTTCTTGCAATACTTAATTTTTTGGCTCGCAGAATCTGGGTTTAGATGGAAATATATTGTTACAGTCTAGATCCTTTTACACACCAGATGCTAGTCAGTTTGGTGTGGTAGGTCATGGCTCAGAGCAGAGGCTCTTGTGTGTGTGATGTAGGATTTATAACTAACCTGATTTTCTAGATCTTTTTTTTTAAGTTCGATTAAATTAACAATTTGTGTCATGATACAGGAGTTCCTACCACAATTGATTATCATAAACTTATCCTCGACATAGAGGTTAGTGTGCCTTTTATGTACTTTTGGTAGCATGTATCCTTTAGCAATATTTTCTGTTGGTCAGAAGTCTGTTTAAACGACTAAATTTACTATATGTCATTTTTTCATCGTATTGCAGGATTTCAAAAACGGAAAAGTTGATACTGCATTTATTCCAAAACATGAGGAAGAGTTGGCAATGGTAAGAATTTATTAATCTTGAAAATATTAATGTCCCTATCAATGGGCTTAAAAATTATATTCCTTGTTGGTTGGAGTTGCTTCAGAACAATTTTGGTACGAAATACTTTTAGAATCATGATATAGAAGTTGAAATATCTACAAATTTTGGCTCGTAGAATCAGGGTTTGGATCACATACAGAAATGTAGTGTCTAGTTCCTTGCGCTTCAGTTGTTAGTAAGTTTGGTGTGATAGGTCATCAGATGCTCATGTGTGTGATGTAGGATTTATAATTAAGCTGATTTTTGGGATATAGTGCTCAATACTCCCATGATCACGAACGAAATGATTGGTATAAAACTAATTTTTTCCCACTGCTCATGAGTACGGCGACACTGTCATGGAAGACTTCTTATTAGACTGTAGTTAACTAAATCATTAGGTGCTTGCGTTATGTCAAAATGCCGTGTAGAAGATGTAGGGCTGCTGGCAAGTCTGTAAACAGAGGCATTCCTCAGTGATCTTGTAGAATGCATGAAAATAAGAATAGTCCTATTGCTGATAGCATGGGGCATCCTTGCTAATGTATTATGGGAGTTTCTAAACCCACACGTTAAGGAAATATTCTTGATTTTCCTGTCATAATAGTTTCTTTAAACATTTTTGTTTGATTTTGTAAGTTATTTGATTTGCTGTCCTCTTCAAATGCAGCCGCCGCAGAAGTTGGTACTGAGCTAACAGGTTGAATGAACTAGTTGGCTCAACTGCCTGAAGGATATGATTTTGTGGTGCTGCTTAGTTGTAATCACCTTATCGTCAGTGCTTGGAAGTTAAAAGTTTGAATGAAATTTTGATAATTAGTCTCGTACATTCCTATTTCTTCACACAATTTTATCGTAAAATCAGTTAATCTCATTTGATTTTATCCCAAATATCAGTGCAAGAAAATGGGAGTAGCTCCTTGCTTTTAGTCGTAGTTGCTACATTGGTTATTAGAGGCTTGTTTGTAATTCTTGTATTAAGAGCTCGTGTTAGATACAGTAATAAAAACTTGACATGATTCTAACCGGCTTGGATTGTTATATGGATCAATTGGTGTCGCTAGCTAGATTATCTTTTTTCCCACGGTTCTTATTATTTTATTACTTGTATTCAACGTGAATGAGATGATTTAATGCTGTCCGTCCTATTCGACTGTTCGTGCCCTTTATGCATTTGCCACTGAATATGAACTATGATTTTAGTAAGGCGCAATTTAAGGAATAAAGTAGAGGCAACCTTCACCCAAAAAAAGAAGCTAAACATGACTTGTGTTTATTCTGATTAAAACCCTAACAAAATTCTTTTTAAGTGTTTTGTCCTTTAGTACATTTAACGAGGTTAATCCTTAAAAGAACTGTAGTTGTGCATTAAGTTGAATCAAATTGTAAGCTACATAGGACAAGCCACGTATTTTATATATTCACAAAAATCGGCTGTGACAGACATGGTGGATACACTTGTAAGTTTCTCTAGGATAAACTAAGATAGGCGTTGAAGTGCATATTGCATATTAATCATGTGAGCTTGAGTGGGTTTCGTATCCGGACATTCCTGACGTTGAGCCGTCACTCATGGAGTTCTACGAGATAAACATATGATGTTAGTGGCCATAATATAAGCTAAAGAAACAAAAAGTAACTAATGACAGTGACTCACTTGAGCTGAGGAAATGGGGTAGTTTGAGTAGTTGTAGTTGCTCCTTTGACCGAATCCTGTGGGAGCACCGAACATCATCATCATGGGCATGTTATCTTCAGCAAAGTCTCTGAGTTTATTGAGCTCGGGCAATACAACCTTTGCAAGATCAGGTCTATCTTTTCTTTTCATTTCTGCACACGCCAAGGCAAGCTTGGCAAAACGCAAGGCATGTTCAATTGGCCAGTCCTCAACGGCTGGGTCAAGCATCTCCGCAAAAGTCCCCTTCTCAATAGCTCTTTCGACATGGTGAGTCAAACCCATTGGTGGCTTTGCTGTTATTATCTGTAGAAGCATGATCCCCAATGAATAAATGTCAGATTTGGTTCCCAGCATGCCCGTTTGCTGATACTCAGGGTCAATGTAACAGAAAGTTCCCGCAGTTGATGTCATTCGATACTGTGTGACACTATCTTCAACTGAAGCCGGAACAAGCCTGGCCAATCCCACATCACTGATCTTGCTCACGAAGTTACGGTCAAGCAAAATATTCCCAGGTTTCAAGTCACGGTGCACAAGTGGTTCTGGCTTTGTCTGGTGTAGGAAGAGGAGCCCAGTTGCAATCTCTGCAGCAATTCGGAATCTCAGCTGCCAGGGAAGAGCTCTTTTGTTGCCCCTCCGAAATAGGCAATCATCCAAACTTCCATTAGCCATATACTCATACACCAAGCAGCCAAACTCTGGGCACGCTCCAAGGAGAAGAACCATATTTGGATGCCTTATGCTACTTAGCACTTCAATCTGCACGCACCAAATTCAAAAGACATTCATTCAGCCATAGTCCATTGATTACCTCAAATGACAAGGGATAGAAACACGATAATAAAGGTTCTATTGGACATAAATCATGTACAAGTTTCTGTTCTCGTTTTCCATACCTCCTGCTGAAACTGTGCTTGTCCCTGAGCTGCATCTGGTTTCAATATCTTCACTGCAACTGGTGTGTGATCTAGTTCGCATCTATAGACTGGCCCATAACCACCTTCACCGACCTTGAGAGAGTTCGAAAATAAATTCGTTGCTTCTTCTATTTCCTCTATAGTGTACCTTCTGTACCTGGCGGGACAGTGTGAAAACATATCTGTAGTCTTCTTATGCCCAGATTCTACAGTCATTCTCTTTCGTGCTTCCAACTCTGCAATTTTTCGAGATGTTTCTGCTGCTTCCATGGCAGTTACGCATTTTGCTTTCTCCTTCTCATCCATTGACAATGCTGTTTCTTCAGTTAATCGTGCCTCTTCCATTTTCCTTTGTTCTTCCACTTTCCAACGCTGAAGTTCTAGTGCCTTTTGGAGAATAGTGCTAATAAGTCAGTACATATTTAATAGATTACATTTATCAATTCCATGAGATGGCAGTCGTATTCTTAGAATTTGCATGTTTGGACTAAATAAAAATTTGTAAGGTACCTTTTGCTTAGCTGTCATAGCTTCCTTGCATGCAGTACTGTACATTTCCATCTGCTTCAGTTCTAGCTTCAGTCTCCTCATTTCAGCTTCCACTTCATCCTATGGTTTAGTGAAGATATTTGTCAAATCTTGGTCTTGAAACAGTTAGAAAACCAATCATGATTGTTTTGGCGTATTGATTATAATATATATATATATAGTTCTTACTGAGGCTGAAAATATGGACGATGACATTGATGTCCCACTGTCTTGTGAACTGAATGAGTAGTCACCATGATCAATTGATTTGGCTCCTGAGAATGAAGAGCCATAGCTTCTCATATCAAAATCTGAGCCTGTTGAAAGCCGGGGATTTATACAAGAGTCCATATCATCATACATTGAAGGGAACATCCTATCAACACTAGGCCTTCCACTGCTCACGAATGAAATATCAGAGTCAGCGATGGAGGACTCGTATGATCTGTAACTTCCTCCTCTACCAGGTCTTGTAAAGGGTGATCTGTCAACAGAATATCAAGTTAGTCCTCTCAGTAAGCCCTGAAATCTTTCTGAAGCTTAATAATCATCAATCTCAAACTCTCATGTACATCTCCATTGTAGAACACATTGAAGTTGGTAATTAGCATTCTTGTTCTCCTTAAATGGAAATGAAGTTATTACAGCTTATTTGATTTTGAAATTTGAACATGCAAGGTTTCTACTCCAATCACATCATGAATGATTTCTGGTTTTCTTTTGTACTGTGAAAGAAATTTCCTAAAATGGATGGGTTGCTTGTGTATCTATATATTATGAAATTGAAGTGTGCTATGTTTTTTTCATAATAACTTTATGTCACTCCAACTATGGATTCACGTGGTACTTACATTATATCGTCTTCATCTGCTGGTTGCTGGCGGACAATGTAGGGTACCTTCTCCATTGATGCTGTCATATATACATACGAATCCAGTGTTTTATGAACAATGTTACCAAAAATTAGAAAATTTTAGACAAAGAGGATTAAAAGAGAAATTCGCATACGTCGTGCTAGGGCAGGATTGCGTGTTAGGTGTGGGTCCATTCTACCAGGAGTTTGAAGAGATTGCTGCGGCTGCAGTGTATTGTTACGTGGTGGAGGTTTAGCAGTAGCAGTTTTCACCGATGCGATTTTTCCTTTGGAAATTATGTACACAGTACAGAATGGTGGTGCCCCTTTCGACACAAGACTTGGAACATCCGATGTCCTAAATCTTCTGCAATAAATAAAATTTTAAAATATTAGAATTCTGTATTATTATCATAGTTGTACCTAATCTTCTTACGCCAAAGTCTCTCAATAAGATCTTAAAACAAAGTCAAATTCATACAATGTGTTTTTCCTCTTTATCCAATTAACCATTGCTGTAATTGCAATATTGTTTTGCTAATGTTTGTTATATTGGTCGAGATCAAGCAAACTCGTTTGAATTAGTGTTTGCTGAGTAGGGAATTCTTACCTTACAAGACCACTCCTTGAAGGTGCCCCAAGTACCAGAAGCTCGATGGCGTATTTAGAAATACCTTCTATTAATCCCTTGGTTATATCTACGTCATCCAGTAAGATCTCTTTGCATTGTATCTGTTTTAAATCGAGAAGAAAAACATTGAAAACGAAACGAATTTAGAGTAAAAAAATCAGATTCCGAACAACAAAACTGAATCTCATTTCATTAAAAGCAAGTCCTCTTAATGGCATGAACACACGAAATGAAAGGAGCAATTATGTGTCAGAACTAACACTTTTTCTATTGCAGAAGACCCGAAACGAAGCGAAAAGTTCTTTAGATTCGTTGTCCATCTGTTGCATGTATGCTCTAGCCACATCATCGTTGCCATCAAGAGGTATAAGATTTCCCGCTGTATTCAAAATCATTCAAGTCACCTATGTGTCACAAAATATCTCTTGCAAAAAGAGCAATTCATGGTGCACATAACAATAAATTTGAATTATATTAAACCACCAATGCACTGTGCAGATATTGTCACAAAATTGGCCTTCTATATTTCAGACAAATACATATAGGCATAGAGCAATCAATTATATGAAATTTAGGTTCGATGATTACTTGGTGTAGGAATGGAAGATGCTCTCTGTCTAACATGGAGCAGTAAGAGCGCTTGTTCTTTGGGAAGAAGATTATCAACAGCCCATTTTGCTGCATATTGGCTTGTTTTGTTATTTTCAATTGCCACTGCTACCACACGTCCTGCACCTATCTTCTTCTCCTGAACCAACCTTGACATCCTTTTTTTTTTCCTTGTGAACACTTCAAAGTATTCACCAGCTCAGAAAAAAATTGATGTTCAAGATAAATTCAATCCAACTTCTTGTATTGGCCCCCAAGTTTTCTGTTTATATAGTTGGTTTTGATTCTTTCCAAGAGACAATTTAGTAAACCTAAGTGTACATATAACTATAACGAGATGTGACTATTGTCAGCGCCATTTTAAGCATTGTTCGAAACTCTAATAGAAATTTTGTCTGCTGTTGCAGAGTGTCAAACCCTTTATTAGTTTGCGTTTGTTATTACCTTCCAAAATTAGTGAATTTTGACGACTACAACATCTTGTACATGTTCCATCACAAGTCATACCACATACCGATAATCTTAGCAAGCGTTTGACACTAAAAAAACAATAATTAGTTTTAGGAAGTTAGACATGGCTTTTATAAAACAAAAAAATAGTTTATACAGACTAAGTTACAATTAAAACATATACTACATATAGGATTAAAAATACAAATTATTATTTATTTAGTTTTATAATGTTATGTTGTTTATTTGTTACTCAAAAATATATGTGCATTTTTTTCTTGTTTAGACATTAATTTTATGTGTAATGTTTTATGTGAAGAAAAAATATATTATGTTTTACATTATTATTCCATCAAGAACCACCTATATATATAGTAAATAACTATTTTTAATTTTTTTTTATTTGTTAACATTGTTAATTTGCATTACCCTTATATGAGATTATATGTATTTTTTACATGAGACTAACCCAATCCCAGTATGATCAATAAGAGTGACAAATTTGTCCTTCTGAGTTGCATACCCAGAATTCGAGCTTGAGACCGATGATTAAGCTAGAATCGTTTTTATACATGTTTCAAATGATTGGTGGTAATGAGTGAGTTTTATTAAATTAAATTTTAAAAAAATGAATTAAAAAAATTAAAATAACACTAAAAAAAATGTTTTTATTAGAGGTTTATTCTTTTAGTTATATATTAAACCGTTAACACTCGTGCATTTTATCAAGTAGACTATCCCAGCTATATATATATATATATATATATAT